GAGAGAGAGAGAGAGAGAGAGAGAGAGAGAGAGAGAGAGAGAGAGAGAGAGAGAGAGAGAGAGAGAATTTGGACATATGCTTTCTGTGTCTTCACCCTCCCCTAGTTAGTGTCGTCTGCATTGCCGTTGGTTTGGGGGAAGCAGTTGCTCTCTGATTGTACACGTTGCGGCCCCACTGTGATCTCTGGTAGAGCACGGCCTGCTTCTGTTCGAGCCTCTTCGTCAACCCTTGGCTTGTTTTTTAACATGGCTGAAATCAACAGAACAACTGGGGGCTAAGGTTGTGGCACTGTGGGAAATGTAGCTGACGATATCTTTATAACGAAAACTGGGTGTCCTTGTAGCAATTTTGTATGCTGCTATTTCCTTGACTCTTCCCATCTGCATGCACAATACTGTCTTGCAGGCACCACCATTCACGGCTGGATGGCCGAGAGCGCTTCGTCTGCTGGCATTACCAGTGAAGGTCACTTTCCAGGTCATCCAGTTGCTATGGACATTATGTGTTGCTATCCCAGCTCCGGATGTGTTTCTTGTGCAGGTTTGTTGCTTCAATTTCACTACTCTTCCATGTTGTTCATTCTTTCAGTGATCCCTTGTTTCTCTCCATCAATGCAAAGATGTTGCTGCTTTGCAGACAAAGTGCGTGTTTACGTTTGCAAGAGACACTATGCTAGTGTCATCCATCATTCACATGGGAGGTGCAACGGTTCGGACCAGGGATCAACCCCCTGGAGCCACTGGATGCTCCAGCCTGCAATTCCTCATCGCCTGCTCTTGCCTGCGTCGCACATTTTGCAACGACCGCTCATGCTCGCAGCCCACTCTTCCCACAGCCCACATTTCCTTAAAAATACTGCTTCATTTTTTTATTTTTACACACAGCCCCATCTATTCTGGGCGGCGCCAGTCCGGTTACTTCTTCCCGGCAGCCTGTCTTTCTGCAACTTCAACTTCGAGTCTTAAGTGCATCCCGCCAAGTGCACCTTGGAAGCACCCTGTCCTTTTGCATGGGGTTTCCACTGAGTTCCTGCTGCTGCAAAGGATCTTAGTGCAGTGACGGAGAATTCGACACTGAGTAGGTATTCTTCGCAGAACGTCAGTTGGTCCCACCATGCATGATTGCTTTCGGAGTCGGAGTGTCAGTGTGTATGTGGAAGGGACCAACTGACATTCTTTTTCCAACTTTGCCACTGCCAGTGCCGGTTACGTGAGCGATAACGCATGGGGAAGGGAGTCGAGGAGAAACCACAGATGAGGTACTTACTGCTTGCTTGCAAGGTGTCATAGAAGAGGGGAATCAATGACTATTCTTATTAGTGTATAGTACTATAGAGAATTGACTTAAAGTGGAGGAGAATTGCAGAAGGTCGTTGATTCCCCCCCACTTTAAGTCAATTCCCCTCTACCTGGGGGATTTACACATGAGGTGAGAGCTCAGCAGACAAGAAGGATGAAAGAGTAGAACAGAGCTCCTCCAACCCTATCTACAGCTAACTGTCAATTGCGTGTACAGGCAATGTTATGTGCACGTGGTTGCAACAACAAATCTCTCTCTCTCTCTCTCTCTCTCTCTCTCTCTCTCTCTCTCTCTCTCTCTCTCTCTCTCTCTCTCTCTCT